TTTAGACCCGAATGCCCTTCTGGATATATCCACCGTGGCCTACATACGCAGAAGTTCATAGCTGAAAAGAATCAATACGTTACCTTTACCTCTACCTTGTTTCCTCTCATCACGTGTCCCCTTATCCTCCCCACCATATATTCCACTCTCGCTCTTCTCTACACTATACAATGTATTCTCTTCTAATGCGATCGCTTAGTTCTCCGCACGAGAAATAAACGTTTTATATAGGAATTTGTAAACTTTAGAGTTTGGTGATGATTTACATGTCTCTAGGCGCGCACGAGATTTCCGCCCGCGAAATACAGCGGAAGAAACAGCTGGGGCATTCGAGAGAAAAAGAGAGAGATATCGAATTTTCGTGCGAGACCCATTCGACGCGCGTTCGTCGCACCACGTGGCATCTTGGGATTAACCCCAGAACCGCACAACTCCGCTTAGGATCATAAACTAACGTCCAAGACATCCCGGATGCGTTTTTGTTATTTATGCCTTTCTTATCTCCCGAGATGGAAACAGAGATGCATTCATTTTCCTCTTTGCAGAAATCTGACAAATACGTCGAAACGCAAAATACAAATTGTTATCGATTGTATTTTAGAAATACCCGATTGATATTTCAGTTTTGGATAACGGTCAATTTCACAATAAAAGACTATAGATCCACATATATCTTGCGAAGGACCGTATTGAAAATTTTAGAAAAGAGAGCTGATTCTAAGATTAAGATCAATTTTCCATTTTTAGCGCGCGCGGTCTTCGCTTCGTGCAAAGTCTTGAATTTCACTTCCGACTTCGACAAGAAACTCTATTTATAAAGAAACTCATCCCATTGTAGTACGATTGATCCTCCGGCGATAGCGTAATTAAACATTGATTCGACATTAAATATATTCCGGAGAGAATTCTCGAGAGACTCGTGAACTTGTTCACACGATTTAGCGACGAGTTAAATTTAAAACAAAAAAGAAATGTGACAAGTTTAAACTCCGTTTAAATTACACGAGACGCGCTTTTTAGAAAAATGCCTATAAGTGCATCGCGTCGATATTTTAATTAAACGACTAAAATAAATTAATGTCTCCGGACGTTACACTCGAAACTCTGAGCAAACATACTGCAGCTCGTTTTTCGAGAAAGAAAATAATTTTATTTCAGCATGCGCCAGCACAAAATGTGTGATATATAACAGATTTTATTTTAAAAATTAAATTAAAATTAAATTATAATTTATATGATATGATTCGCGTTGCGCGTAATAACGCGAGCTTCAACGTCAGCGACGATATAAACGGCGGAATCTGAAATCTCTCTGCAATTGTAGAGCAAGGTTAGCGTTCTAGAGCATTCGCGAAAATACGCCGTCGTTTAAAAGCGGAGACGACTGAAAGAGAGAAAGAAAAAGAGAGAAAAAGAGAAGGAGAAGGTTGCGATGCAATTTCGAGAGCAAAATGTTCGGGTGCACCCGCGGCGATGACCAAGCTCACGTGAGTTACTCGTCGCATAACCGCGGTAAAAGAGCCTCGCCTAGAGCCGAAATTATTGCGTTTTCTTGGCTCCTGTTCAAACACCCGAAGCATCGACTTACGCCGCAACGACGACGACGACGACGACGATGGTGCGATTATTGCAACACGCTGGCCTACATCGAAGGAAATCGCCTCCCCGACGGGGAGATGAGTCTCCCCGTCATCTTCACGGTCCACGTGCGAGGTATCGAACGTCACGAGAAAAATTGCAGTTCATTTTGAGTGAATCTCGTTTGAGAAATTGCGAAAACGCAAGACGTTTCTTGATTGATTAAACAATGTTCTTTTACCAAAGCAATATAGAAGATAATTAAATGTGAGACACATTTCGATATAATAATTCTAAATTAAAAACTACACGTCATGGCAACAATTTTTACAAAGAATGACGTAAAGACACATTCAGACGTTCCTTACTGTTCTCATATAATGATTATCTATATTAGATTTGCTTAATAATCCGCTAATTACGATCGCCACCCCTGACACGCGCAGTTCATAATTCGATTTTTGCACAACTCTCGTTGTTTATGTAGTTTTTGATCCGCGTTAAAGAGTAAAATATGCAATATATACATGATACTATCTCTCTCTCTCTCTCTCGCTTGCTCACTCTCTTTCTTTCTCTGCTACACACGTATCTCGAAATATATTATTCTACATCGTTAAAATTCACTTATTTTGCGAGCTAACGAGAGAATTATAGAAAGACCACGCGCGTACTATCCTCTTTAACTTCTCGTTGCGCTCTGAAAAAGGTCGCAAGTTCACGACACGTGACCGATATTTTCGTAGGTTTCGAGCGACTACTGAAACACCGAGTGTTTCCGAGATTGATAATAATTACACACTTGTCATCGCACTTGTCACAATTAAAATCAAGTTTACTAATAAAGATCAAGAACAAACTATTATTTCTTTCATTCGCATAAAACTTAAAGATTGATGAAATTGATAACATCACGCACATAATTCGGAAATATGTCAGCCAGCAGCTAAGAGTCGAGTTGTCACGCTGTGTCAGCATGGAGAAGCGATGCTTGTCAACACTGTTACAACGTGTCAATTACGGCTGGGGAGAGCACCCGTGTCAAGATCGAAGACGTTTTTACAACACACATATCACTTCCGATCGTCAATTGACGCAACGCGAATTTCAAGGTCGCGTAAAGCAGCGTGCAATATATTAACCACGATCTGAAACACCTGACCATCCCCATTAATCAACTCCAAATTACATGACAGCGAGAATATTCTTGGTTTGTGATTTTTGAAAAGTGAGACGATATTGATATCGCAGCAGCGTCACAATATCGCGTGGGAAGGAAGGGAGATGCGACCTGTCAAGCGAAATGACAGTTGACCGAGTGACCCGCAGAAGCCGCAGTCACGCGCCCCTCCCACCTCCCGCAAACTCCACTTTTAATTGTCAATCGACGAGCGGAAGAGATACGGAAAAAACGGACGGATGATTTGTAAATGTTTTATGAGAAGGTACGAGCTTACCACCTTGTTTACGCACTGGCATCCTTCCTGGTGAGGATCTGTCGCAGGGGTGGGTGAACAACGAGGTGAGAGACAGGAGAACTCCGAGATGTGCTCACGGTGCTCCGGAACGGTCCAACACGCAGAAGAAAAGAGAGAGAAAGATAGAGAGAAAGAGAGAAAGAGAGAAAAGAAAGAGATATATATATATATATATATATATCTATATACGGAAACGAAGAGACGACGGCACGATGACGAGGAAGAAGAGGATCGCGCGACTTGTCGATGGTCTCCGCGAAAAGAATCGCGCACTATTGTTGTCACGACGTAACCGCGACAGCCCGTCGTCCCCGCGTCTGCGGGCGCGCGCACCGCTCCGTAAACGTCACTCGCGATTAACACGCGACGAGAACACGGGGGGCCCGTACGGAACGTGCGGAAACCGCGTTAACGACGATATAAACACAGACCAGGCGGCCGCCGCCACCACTCGGCCAATATGGCGTCCCGCAGCTGGTGTAGCAGCCGGAAAACCGACTGGCTGGCAGGAACGGAATGCGCGTCGCGGATTGGTCCGTCGCTCGCTGACGGTGACGTCAACCCCCGCAAAGCTCGGTCGCGCGCGCTGCTCCACCACGCGCCGCTCTGCCATGCGAAACAACCCCCTCGTGCAACCCCCGTCGATATTCGATCTCGTTTTCAGCTCGATAATCGCAACAGCCGCGTACTTCTTCGTCGTTTTTTTTGCCACATTCTTTTTTGTACTATTTCTCTTTCTATCTTCCCTATTTAATGGCATTTTGTTATTTCAAATTTCGAAAATGTAATTTTGCAACAACAGCAGATTTGTTTTCTAGACAACTTGCAATAAACGAGTGTGTCATTTATCATTAATTATCATCTTTCATTAAAAATTATACATGATTCGCGGATTTAAATAATATAGATGAAAAAACGCAATATCTTTTATATATACATATATATGTATATTATATATATAATAATATTATATATAATAATACATATATAAAAATTTTATACATAGTTTATACATTTACATTATATTAACAAAAGTCAATAAGAAAAATGCAAATGCATCAATTAAATGTATTAACAATGACGCTCAAATTATGCAAATCCAAAAGTATGTAAAATTTATGTAACCAAAAATTTTTATAAAAAAAACTATACGAGAATTCATATCTTTTATTTATAGATACCAAGAACACTTTATTTTGTAAGAATAAATAATATTAAACTTGTAAATAAAAATTTTTTAATATTACATATACCAATGTTATCTATAGAATAATGTTGAATAATATGTTTTGGATCTAACTTTGTATAATTTGTATGCGCAATGCTTGTTTGAAATTTAATACTAAAATTTTTCTATTTTTGCGTGCAAACTACACATTTAATATAACCACACTTAATATATTTATATATATAATAATCAACTCGATGCTCCACCTTACTGTGGCGCTACTAATCAAATGCGCAACTGCTGCTATCTTACAGCAGCACGCATATTAATATATAGAACTTGTGTGTTCGACGTAATGTACCGCGGTCGATAATATATCGAATATGTCGTATCAAAATAAAAACCATAATTATAGGATTAGATGCAATAAACGATTTTTTTAATTATTTTACAAATAACATAATCAATAATATATAATATGCGATTATATATACGATACTCTAGAATGATTTGCATATACATTACATTTTGATATGTGTGGTTTTGCATTCTGAACGCGTTGCTTTTCGATCAAAATATAGATAGGAGACAAACTTCACATAACAAACACAAACATTGCGCATTTTACGCGATACTCCCGGAATTTATTTGCGCGCACAAAATCACTACTTTTCTCTAGAAACGTGGTGACTATTTTCAACGCATTCGACGAATACGTTATGGTAGTGTACAAAATAGCAAACTACTTCGCACGCACGAAAATTATATCACGATACCTGATATTGATGTTCGCTTTACGACGAACACTGTGCACAATGTTTCCGATATAATTCCTTGTATGCAAGATTCAGCTTTTTCCGAAAAATCACAGCTAAAACAACGGGAACGGAACACGACTTCGCGATATTCCGCACGGCGAATCGCAAACGACCATTCGAGACAACGCTTCGAGAATCGAAACTTCGATATTGCGATTCTTGAAACATCATAAATCGAAATAATCGCATCGCACGAATAACACCATGCATATATCATAGTTAAAAACAAAAAAGCCAGTTGACAATAAAGCTTATAAAATGAATGTTTTATTATCTGAGGCTCGATTTCTTCATACTTACTTCCCGATAGCTATCCTCTGGATAAAAATATACAAACAAGATATGCTTTATTTTTTTAAGTCATCGAGAACTTATCTAAAAGTGAAGAAATTAGGCATGACAGATATTTATTTAGAGAATAGCTAATGGAAAGGTATGAAGAAATCGAGCATTAAAGAATAATAGAAATTTTCTAGAAGAATAGCAAACTTGACTCTTAATTGTTGAAACACTAATAACACTAATATAATTTTTTCAGCAGAAAAAATTATAATGACAAATAATAACTCAAATTATTTTTAATGAAATAAAACTTTTTATTTTTTAATAGTATTTAATAAATTGTTTTGTAATAAAAATATTGAAAAACAGCATTAAAAATCAAAATCGGTTATAGCTCGTTTTTACGTAGTAAAAATGAACTTACTGATCTATAAGCTATAAATAAAATATAAATTATAAAAATAAAAATACTTAGAATTGTCAAAAAGACGGCTAATTGTGTGGAAGTAGCTGATTGAGAACCTCAGGTAAAATTTGGTTCATTTTAGTTTAATTAAAAAAATTTTTTTTTTGTTCATCTTTAACTAGATTCGACAAGCAGACGACGACAGAGAAAGCCTCGTGAATAAGCGAGGGAGTCACGTTTGTGCGCCCTAGATGTATCTTTGCAACTATCCTTGAAAATACATGCCTCACCGAAATATACAATGCATACTACATATACTTTGCATATCCTTCTCTGTCATTCGATCTAAAGAATGAAACGCGAACGTTTCTTTCAACTTCTAATTTGCTCCTACAATAAATGTAACACAGACCGTAAACCTTAAGACGTCTGCTGAAGAAAACAATATTAAATTCATACAAGTTACGCACAAGCACACACACACACACACATTTCTGTCTCTTTCTCTCTCCCTTTTCTTCCCCTCTCTGTTTGCTTTACCTGCTCTGTTTTCGTAAAAAGGTGTTTCAAATTTACAAGGTGTCTTTGAAAGAAACTATACAAATATTCACTATATCATTTAACGCTCGTATTTTAGTAGAATTTTTAATTTAGCAAAAAGTTCAATTAAATATATAAATAATGTTATTTAAATTAGTTCTTTTTTTAAGTGAAATATCAGATGATGAAGAAAACAAAGTTTATATCTAAAGAAACAAAGAAATAAATAAAACCTGAATACAACAACTTCTACTTTATTAAACATGAGATTTAGAAGTAATTTACAAGTCTTCAAAACAAATTAAATCGTAGCGGCTTCGTAGACGATAAATTATAAACTGCTATAATTGTTTGCGACTTTTATCCTTCTCGTCACAATTTTGAATTCAATATAAATATATATTATCGCGAGAGATGTTTAATTTTCTGGAAATCTCAAACGGGTCAAAATGAATTTTCTTGTTAAGTAAAATGTATATATGTACAGAAAGTTTAAAATCTGTATACAATTATTTTCAGAACACCTTGTTGCGCTTAACAGAAATTTATACGAATCAGAGATTTATGCAAAAACAAACTTATTTTAGAGAACATTGTTTTTCATTCTTCTTCTATATTTTATCTAATTGTGAAACGTGCTTTACATAGCACTGAAATGCTCGATACAACTTTTTAAAAACAAACCTGTATGTTGCATATACAAGACAGATGGACAAATTCACCATCGTCGAAAGACTCTTACTCGTTATATCACTCATCCGTGACTTCTCAGAGTAAAACTTATAAGTGAGTAACAATATTGCATTTTGTTTTATAATATCATCAGTCATTCTTTGCTCAATTTTATTGTTTCTCTGCCAAAATAATGCAAAGAGATGAAATTTTCTAAAAACGTAATATCCTTCTTCTTAAAAACGTTACTGTTACTGGATTTGCTATATAGCGTTTTAATTTATACATTGTTTTCACAAATTATTGCAAGTCATTAAATAGAGAACTTATCTCTTCGCTGTCTCGCACTATCTTTTCATAAAGCGGCCACTTATCAAAGAAATATGTTGTATAAATAAAGTATCTGATTCCTTTGCCAAAATTAAACAATGTGTTTTTCTGAACAAAAATATTATATATATAAATATAATATATCACTATTATATATTCATATTATATATAA